GTCCTTATGGAAGGGGATTCCCCTTCCAAACACTAACCTCTCCTCCCTCTCCCCTTCTCGCCGTCTTCCATACGCTAACAAGAGTCTTCACTAAAGGTAAAGGGGATGTTAAATGTTCATTTATCCATTTCATTAGTCATTTATATATATTTCTCATTGTTTTCTGTATGTTATACTATAGTTATTCTCAATAAAATATAATTTTTGTTAATATTTTTGGATGTCTTGAACGGATTAATTGGATTTACATTATTTCTTATGGGAAATAATGCTTCAGTTTTCGTATGATTCGGTTTTCATCAGACTTTTTGAATGGATTAATCATGAAAACCGAGGTTCCCCTGTATTTTTATTATTACTTATTATCTATTTCTGTCTTTCGCTCCAGAGGTTCGCCACCTTTCTTGGCGACTCTGCCTGTGCTCCAACATGGTCAATCATTGTGGCGGTGCAGGCAGGCCAATTCCCCTCCCACGTGTCTCGGGTCTCCATCATCAGTTGCCTCGTGGAGGTGTACCATATAATTAATCTCCCATACTGTACCATATGATTACTCGATATTACCCGTTGTCATGTCTAGATATTAATCATAGCATCAGAAAGAAAATTTAGTATAGAAGTAGGTGCTAAAAGTTCAGGCATGAAATTATGCCTCTGTTGAAGAAAATAGAGGTAGTGCACATGTGGTTGATGCAGCCAAGGCCTGTGGAATGGGGGAACTGACAGATATTTCAATTTGAGACAAAAAGAGCTTATGTGATAAGTAACTCAAATTGTGATCTGTTGGAAAAATTGGAAAAACAGTCACTACAGTTAAATAAAACTGAAAAACTGCTGAGTGATGGGATTCAGGAGAAAACAAAGAAACATGCACCATTTAATTTCCTTGTGATCTGTGGGAAAGCTTTATAAGAACATAAGAAAGAACACTGCAACAGGCCTACTGACCCATGCGGAGCAGGTCCATGGCCCCCCCCCCCCCCCCCCCCCCCCCCCCCCCCCCCCCCCGGATTAGACCAATGACCCACTCCCCAGATTATCCCAATGACCCACCCAGTCTGGTCATCCCCACTCAAGGATGAGCACTGTACCAGACCCAGCAGCACAAGCTAGTCAGGTCCAACTCACACCTGCCCACACCCACTCATGTATTTATCTAACCTATTTTTAAAACTACACAACGTTTTAGCTTGAATAACTGTACTCGGGAGTTTGTTCCACTCATCCACGACTCTATTACCAAACCAGTACTTTCCTATATCCTTCCTGAGTCTGAATTTTTCCAACTTGAAACCATTGCTGTGAGTCCTGTCTTGGCTGGAAATTTTCAGCACGCTATTTACATCCCCTTTATTTATTCCTGTTTTCCATTTATACACCTCAATCACATCCCCCCTACTTCTACGCCTTTCGAGAGAGTGCAGATTCAGGGCCCTCATTCTATCCTCATATGGAAGATTTCTGATACATGGGATCATCTTTGTCATCCTCCTCTGTACGTTTTCCAGAGCATTTATATCCATTCTGTAATATGGTGACCAGAACTGAGCAGCATAGTCTAAATGAGGCCTAACCAAGGATATATAGAGTTGAAGAACAACCTGAGGACTTCTATTATTTATACTTCTAAATATGAAGCCAAGAATTCTGTTAGCTTTATTGCGAACACTAATGCACTGTTGTCTTGGTTTTAGATTACTGCTAACCAGAACTCCTAAATCCTTTTCGCAATCAGTAGTATTAAAATCTACATTATTTAGTTTATATGTGGCATGGTTATTTAACTGTCCAACATTTAGAACTTTGCATTTGTCAATATTAAACTGCATCTGCCACTTCTCCGACCATTGCATCAGTCTATTCAAATCATCCTGGAGTGCTCTAGTGTCCTCATTAGAATGAATTGGACAGCCTATTTTGGTGTCATCAGCAAATTTGCTTATGTTGCTATTTATTCCCTCATCTATGTCGTTTATGTAAATTGTGAACAACAACGGGCCCAACACTGACCCCTGAGGAACACCGCTTGTGACGTACCCCCATTCTGATTTCTCCCCATTTATGCAAACTCTGCTGCCTATTATTGTACTATAAACAGCGTTTGAGCAGGAAGGAAAGCCTGTAAGCTAGTGTACATTTAGTCATGAATGGTTTAATCATTTTAGAGCTCACAGTAAGTTTCATAACATAAAGTTGAGTGCTGTGAGTGCCTCTGCTGATGTCAAGCCACTTAAGCAACAACAATAAGAATTTAACCCTTTGAGGGTCCGTCTCGTAGATCTACGGCTTTACGTTCAGGGTCCAAACCGTAGATCTACGTCATGAGCTAAGCTCACTCTGATAAACTGTGAGTGGTACATTTGGGCCTAGATATGAGAGAATACATCTATGTGGTATGTGTGCACCACATAAAACAGATCCTGCAGCACACTGTGTATAATGAGAGAAAAAGAAACTGAAATCATGATTTTTCGATTAAAACAGCGACTTTGCAGTGTTTATACGTATGTTTTTTATAGTTGTACAGTGGACCCCCGGTTAACGATATTTTTTCACTCCAGAAGTATGTTCAGGTGCCAGTACTGATCGAATTTGTTCCCATAAGGAATATTGTGAAGTAGATTAGTCCATTTCAGACCCCCAAACATACACGTACAAACGCACTTACATAAATACATGTACACTTACATAATTGGTCGCATTCGGAGGTGATCGTTATGCGGGGGTCCACTGTATTTGCGATTTCTTGGTCTCATTTGATAGAATGGAAGACATATTACAGAAATAGAGATGATTTTGATTGGTTTTAGCACTGGAAATGGCTTGAAACTGAGCTCAAATTAGCAGAAATGTTAAATTTTTGCCGATATTCAAGAGTAAACACACGACCTCACACGTTTAATACACGCCAACTGGTGGGTCTAATATACATTCACAAATATGGTGATGATATTTATACAATTATTACAGTATTGCATAACAGTAAATCTTCTATTTTTTGGTGTGAATAAAAATTCATTATGTGAATAAAAAATCACTTTTAATTTTCCAGAAGAAAATTAAAAGAGGATACAGGAAAGAGTAAGGTTATGAGGATAACAAAAAGATTAGGTGATGAAAGATTGGATATCAGATTGGAGGGAGAGAGTATGGAGGAGATGAATGTATTCAGATATTTGGGAGTGGACGTGTCAGCGGATGGGTCTATGAAAGATGAGGTGAATCATAGAATTGATGAGGGGAAAAGGGTGAGTGGTGCACTTAGGAGTCTGTGGAGACAAAGAACTTTGTCCTTGGAGGCAAAGAGGGGAATGTATGAGAGTATAGTTTTATCAACGCTCTTATATGGGTGTGAAGCATGGGTGATGAATGTTGCAGCGAGGAGAAGGCTGGATGCCGTGGAGATATCATGTCTGAGGGCAATGTGTGGTGTGAATATAATGCAGAGAATTCGTAGTTTGGAAGTTAGGAGGAGATGCGGGATTACAAAAACTGTTGTCCAGAGGGCTGAGGAAGGGTTGTTGAGGTGGTTCGGACATGTAGAGAGAATGGAGCGATACAGAGTGACTTCAAGAGTGTATCAGTCTGTAGTGGAAGGAAGGCGGGGTAGGGGTCGGCCTAGGAAAGGTTGGAGGGAGGGGGTAAAGGAGGTTTTGTGTGCGAGGGGCTTGGACTTCCAGCAGGCATGCGTGAGCGTGTTTGATAGGAGTGAATGGAGACAAATGGTTTTTAATACTTGACGTGCTGTTGGAGTGTGAGCAAAGTAACATTTATGAAGGGGTTCAGGGAAACCGGCAGGCCGGACTTGAGTCCTGGAGATGGGAAGTACAGTGTCTGCACTCTTAAGGAGGGGTGTTAATGTTGCAGTTTAAAAACTGTAGTGTAAAGCACCCTTCTGGCAAGACAGTGATGGAGTGAATGATGGTGAAAGTTTTTCTTTTTCGGGCCACCCTGCCTTGGTGGGAATTGGCCAGTGTGATAATAAAAACATAAATAAAAAATCAAAATGGAATTTATTTGTAAAGCCTCAAAACGTAACTAATGAACAGAGGAAATGTTAGTTTAGTTCCAGGAATACTTACATTGTTTATTCTGGACCCTATTTTGAAATTGGAATATTTTGAACTTTGTGTTAAATTGGCCAAATTAACAATTTCTGATCACTTTAATTTGTAGTTGAAACAGTTGACTTGGCGATTTCTTGTGCTCACTCGATAGAATAGAAGTAATACTAGTGAAATAGCTAAGAATTTGGTCGGCTGGAATAATGTAATTGGCCTAAAATGGGAGTCAAAGTCGGCAAAATCGCCGATTCGTAAATATCGCTGACACATCAAAATTTGCGAGAGGATAATTTCGCCAATTTTCCATCAAATTTCGTACTTTTTGTTTTATTACCTTCACAAAAAGATTCTCTACCATTTCATAAGAAAAAATAACAAATTTTTTTTTTTTAAATTCTTGGACACTGGGGCACCACTTCAGATTTGGGCCTTGGACCCTGAAGGGGTTAAGGTAAGTGTATTCTTATTGCTTAGTCTTATTAGGTTATGCTGGGTTCAATCATCCAGTATCATATTATAATAATATGCTTTAATGTTCCTGTAACATCCACATACTTTTAAAATTATTGTACAATACTTAGATTATTATTTTAGGGGAATTTTGTACAGTGTTTAAAAGAAAAGTTGTTTGACTTTTTTTGGAGGTGGCATGCAGCATAACCTATTTTTTTCCATAATTTGTTAATAAGTAAATTTACTTAAGTACGTACAGGTACACATTAGTATAATTATTATACATAGTAACTTGTGTGTAAATTACCTAGGATAACCCCAAAAAAAGTCAGTGACATTTCCACTGGGGTCCTTGTTCACTCCACCCATTGCATTTTCATGCATAGCTCTATTTTCTGCAACATAACTATCATGAAAGGTGGTTGTCTACTGTACTTTAAAGAGGTCATCTTAAAAGTTCTTAATTTTTAATTTTTCTTTTAGTTTCTAGATGTGAGAAACCATGGCGTCTGATGAAAAGATACTGGAGGAGGTTGGGGAATCCTCCCATGATACTCCCCAAGCCATTACCATTACTATCATGGATCCCTCAGCCTTGGAAACTGCCCCTCTCGATTCATCCTTGGTGACATCAGTGCAAACCCACGATACTAGTCATGGTACGAGTACCCTCTTAATGGTTCCTGGAGGAGGACAAACGAGCATTAGTGTCAAACACAGTGCAAAGGATATCATACAGACTGTGACTGAAACACACATGGGACCGCGTGAGTTGCCTGTGATATCAAATATTTCTAACCCTGATGAAGAAACTAGTGAAGAGAGTACTATACATGTGACAAAGACTAATGAATTCGTTGATGAAAGGGAAGGTGAGGGAGTGGGTGATGAGGATGGAGAGGAAGCGGATGAGCCTGTGGAGCAACATTGTTTAATATGTAATATAGCTCTGCCATCAGACCAATCGAAAGAATCTGTTCCTGTTTTCAAAACACAAACGACAACGACACACAGAAAAATATCAGTCTTTCTTGGAACACTAATTGGACAGAAGCTTACTTCACGGAAGGTAAGTTTATTTTTCGTTTGATTCTCTGTGCATATACAGTTAAACTCTTGAATTTACAAGGTTTCTGATTTATAGAATTTGACTATCCAGAGGTTTTATTAATACAGTGGAACCTCTACTTACGAGTTTAATCTGTTCCATGACCTTGCTTGCATCTTGATTTGCTTGTTTGCAGTCAATTTTCCTCATTTAAATTAGCTGAAATGAAATTAATCCATTCCCGTGGAATTCCAGGCATGACAAAATTCTTCAATAATTTCCCTAATATAAACTATGGCTTATTTATCTATCACAATTCGTCTAATATGACATAATAAACAGTATTAATAACATAGAAAAATTATATATGTACTAGAATGAATGAGATATTACGTATGTGAGTTGTGTTAGTGGAGGCGGCACAGCGACTTTTGTTGCTCTTGTTGTTGGGGTGTATAGGGCCACCACGGTGGCCATTCCTACATACCTTCCCATGCTTCTATTATAACAGAAAATGGAGTGTTTGTAAGGCAAACTCCATTAGGTCACTGCGTACATAGTAGTTTCATAAGCAAAACAATAATAATAATAATGTAAAGAAATTATGTAGTAATACAGCATTTACCTTGGAGATGGAAAAGAGATGCTGGGCACATCGGTGTATGCTAAATTATATGTAGTACCTACATATTGTTACAGTGGTCCCTCGCTTTTTGTAGTTCTCGGCAATCGTAAATTTCGCCAATCATAGGGGTATTTTCGTATAAACATGGACTCGCTTTTCATAGGTTGACTCGCGAATAGTAGTTCGTCCGGGACGCGTACGCACGGTGTGAGCCGGGGCCGCCTCCCTACCCAGCCAGTCTGGCATTGTTTACCAGTGAGTGAAGGTCCCCTCAAGTGCTCCTATGAAATATTTCATAATATTCCACTCATTTTAGTGCTTGCAATTACTAAATAAGCTACCATGGCTCCAAAGAAAGCTCCTAGTGCCAAGCCTGTGGTAAAGAAGGTGAGAAATATATACAGTGACAAAGTCTTGGGCCATTTTAGGGAAGTGTTAAAGAGACGCCAGAAACAGAGCTCTCTCCACAGTTACTTTGCGAGACAGGACTAGAGTGACTCTCAAGGTGGTCCTAGTGGCATTAAGAAACAGAGAAGAGAAGCAACCCCAGAGAAGCAATTGGTACCTGAGGTGTTGCTGGAAGGGGATATCCCTTCCAAACTGTAAAGTATCCAATCTCTCTCCTCCAGTCTCCCATACACTAAGAAGAATCTCCAATAAAGGTAAGTGTTATGCTGTTAATGTTTCATTCAGCATTTCCCATTGTATTGTTTATGTACTATACAGTATGTATATTTCATGTAAAAAATTTTTTTGTTTTAATACTTCTGGGTGTCAGGAACGGATTAATTGTATTTACATTATTTCTCATGGGGAAAATTGATTCGCAAATCATAAATTTCGTTTATAGTAGCTCCTCCAGGAACGGATTAATTACGAAAAACGAGGGACCACTGTATTATAATTATCGTTATAGTAGTATTACATATTATTGTATTATTATTATACGTATTATTTTATTATTATTATTATTATCCCTTTCAGGGTCCAGAGGCCAAATTTCTAAGTGCGCACCAGGGTCCAAAAATTTTCAAAAAATAATTTTGTTATTTTTTCTTATGAAATGGTAGAAAATCTTTTTCTAAAGGTAATAAAACAAAAAGTACGAAATTTGATGGAAAATTGACGAAATTATGTTCTCACTAATTTTGATGTGTCGGCAATATTTACGCAGTGGCGATTTTGCCGACTTTGACTCCCATTTTAGGCCTATTACATTATTCCAGTTGACTAAATTCTTAGCTATTTCACTAGTATTACTTCTATTCTATCGATTGAGCACAAGAAATCGCCAAGTCATCTGTTTCAACTACAAAATAAAGTGTTTGGAAATTGGTAATTTGGCCAAGTTAATGCAAAGTTCAAAATGTTATAATTTGAAAATAGGGTCCAGAATAAACAATGCAGGCATTTCTGGCACTAAACTACCATTTCCTCTGTTCATTAGTTATGTTTTCATGCTTTACAAATGAATTTCATTTTGATTTTTTATTCGCATAATGAATTTTTATTCAAACCAAAAAATAGAAGATTTACTGTTATGCAATATTGTAATAATTGTATAAATAATATCAGCACATTTGTGAACGTATATTAGACCCACCAACTGGTGTGTATTAGATGTGTGAGGTCATTTGTTTACTCTTCAACATCAGCAAAAATTGAACATTTCTGCTATTTTGAGCTCGGTTTCAAGCAATTTCCATTACTAAAACCAATCAAAATCTTCTCTATTTCTGTAATATATCTTCCATTCTATCAAATGAGACCAAGAAATCACAAATACAACTATAAAAAAACATACGAAAAAACACTGTAAAGTCGCTGTTTTAATAAAAAATTTGTCTCGATTTTTCCTCTCACGCACTGTTGCAGGATTTGTTTTGTGTGTTGCACACATACCACATAGATGTATTCTCTCATATCTAGGCCCAAATTTACTGCTCACAGCTTAGCTGAGCTCATGGCATAGATCTACGGTTTGGACCCTCAACGTATAGCCGTAGATCTACGGCACAGACCCTGAAAGGGTTATTATTGTTATATGTATTATTATTACTATTATTACATATTATTATTATTAATTAGTACATAGGTATTCTTATAATAACTCCTGCTTACCATTTGGAATTTTTATTCACACAAAAAATAGAAGATTTACTGTTATGCAGACTACTGCATTATTGTAATAATTGTATAAATAATTTCAACCCATTTGTGACTGCATATGAGACTGGCCATTTGGACACACATTGGACAATGACATCATTTGTTTGCTCTTGAACATTGGCAAAAACCTAGCATTTCTGCAACTTTGAGCTCAATTTCAAGTTACTTTTCATTGTGAAAGCAATTAAAATCATATCTATTTCTGTAATATACAGTGGTTCCTCGTTTATCGTCGTTAATCCGTTCATGGAAGTGCGACAGTTATTGAAAAAGACGATTTTCGAATCAATTTTCCCCATAAGAAATAATATTAATACAATTAATCCGTTCCTGACACCCATGAAATATAGATATAGTACATAAACAATACAATGGGACATGATGAATGAAGCATTAACAGCATAACACTTGCCTTTACTGGTGATTCTTCTTAGTGTATGGAAGACTGGAGGAGGAGAGAGATTGGATTAGTTACTGTTTGGAAGGGGAATCCCCTTCCATCAACACCTTAGGTACCAAGTCCTTTTCTGGGGTTACTTCTCTTCTCTGTTTCTTAATGCCACTAGGAGCAGCTTGAGTCACTGGAGTCCTGTCTCACAAAAAGTGTCCAGAGAGCTCTGTTTCTGGCATTTCTTTAAAACTTCCCTGAAATGGGCCAAGACTGTCACTGTACAAGTTGCTGATATAGCTTGCAACATCCTTCTCAGGGTGATGTTTCTCCATAAATCTTTCCATCCTACCCCACATTTCCAAAATCTCCTTAATTTCTGAAGAAGGCACCTTCTTCCATCTCTCTTCCTCCTCTGCAGCAAGATTCTGAGCTGCGATCTGTTGCTGTTCCTGCTAAAGCTCTTGCAGCTCCTCAGTGGTTAGCTCTTCATTGTGGTCCTCCACCAACTCTTCCACATCCTCTAAACTCACATCCAACCCCATGGAACTCCCAGTGCCACAGTAGAGTTCACAACTGACATAGGCTCATCAGGGTCAGCCACAAACCTTTCAAAATCCCTCTTGTGGACACAATCTGGTCACAATTTTCTCCAAGCAGAGTTCAAAGTCCTGGTAGTCACTCCCTCCCAAGCCTTACCTATAAAGCTTATGCAATGGAGGATACTGAAGTGTTCTTTCCAAAACTCTCTTAGAGTCAAATGAGTGTCTGAGGTCACATTAAAGCACCTTTGAAACATTGCTTTTGTGTAGAGTGTTTTAAAGTTTGAAATGCCCTGCTGGTCCATGGGCTGGAGGAGAGGCGTGGTATTTGGGGGCAAGAACTTTACTGTGATGAACCCAAACTTCTGCAGAATTAGGTCATCCAAGTTTGGAGGATGAGCAGGTGCATTGTCCATTACTAGGAGGCGCTTGAGATCCAATTTCTTTACCAGGAGGTAATTCTTCACACTAGGGCCAAACACTTCATTGAACCATTCGACGAAAATTTCCCTCGTGACCCATGCCTTATTATTAGATCTCCAAAACACACACAATTACTCTTCATAACATTGTTTTTTTTTTTTTTTGAACACTTTGGGATTTTCAGAATGGTACACTAGTAACGGCTTCACTTTGAAATCCCCACTAGCATTAGCACAGAACATGAGTGTCAGCCTGTCTTTCATAGGCTTGTGTCCTGGCAGTCCCTTTTCCTCCTGAGTAATGTAGGTCCTCTTTGGCATTTTCTTCCAAAAGAGGCCTGTTTTGTCACAATTGAACACTTGTTCAGGTTTCAGTCCTTCAGCCTCTATGTACTCCTTGAATTCACTTATGAATTTTGTAGCTGCAATTTTGTCCGAACTGGCAGCCTCACCATGCCTTATCACACTGTGTATGCCACTACGGTTCTTAAATCTCTCAAACCATCCTTTGCTGGCCTTAAATTCACAAGTATCAGTACTCGTTGCAGGCAATTTCTTTACCAGATCGTCATGCAACTGCCTAGCCTTTTCACAAATAATTGACGTCATAAAACTATTTCCTGCTAATTGTTTCTCGTTTATCCACGCCAATAATAACTTCTCTACCTCTTCGAGTACTGGTGATCTCATTTTTGTCAGCATATTTAACCCCTTTGCAACAACAGCTTCCTTGATTTCCTTTTTCTTGGCCATGATGGAAGATATGGTTGTACAGGATTTGTTATATATCCTGGCCAGTTCAGCCACACGTGTGCCACTTTCATATTGCTTAATGATGTTTTTCTTAAATTCAGTCGCATTTCTCACCTTTACCA